TGAGACTGTGACGAACCCTCAAGCGACTTCCGGAGGGTCTACCTCTAGCTCCTCCAACAACCTTGGCCCCATCATCGGCGGCGTAGCAGGAGGACTGGGCGGCGCCATCTTACTCTTGATCATCGGGTGGTTCATTCTGTGCGTAGACTCCCGCCGATCTCGACGCATACCTTTGTCGCTCATGCTTAGTCACGGATTCAGCAGAAGACATCGTCGCCGCAGTTTTGACGACATTGTCTGGCCAGATCATTCAGCACACCACGAGAAGAACGACTACCCGAAGCTCAGTCCAAAACCCAGTCTCGAGCCGCCGATCACGGAGCCCCAGCCATACACCTACGGTGCGCTTGGTGCGCCCACCACGCGTCGCGTCAGTGCGCTCTCCCATAGCTCGGCGGGTCACCAAGACACAGCCCTCGTCCGGAATACCTCGCGCCAGCATCCCCCTTTCACACCCACACCGACATCGCCCGTGTCCCGTGTTTCTGGCGGGTCATTCTCAAATGGCGGGCAGATCTCTCCATACTCGGACATAGGGTATCTCAGCGTACCGGTTTCTCCGCCCGCCGCGTACGAGACCGCGCCCTCTGCGTCCACAGTCACGAACAATTCCGCCTACGAGCAGCACCGGCCGCTACACGTGGTCAACAACGACGACGGCGCTTCCCGCTCTCGCAGCATGTCGCCGCCGAACGAGAAGAGCCAGATCTACTTGCATCCGGACACCGGTCTGACTACTGTTCCGGGGCGCATGGGATCAAGCGGTTCCGCGACATACGCGTCCGGTTCGAGCAATCCCGCGATGCGTGCGTCCGAAAGCAGCCATCCCGCGTCTCACGCGTCAGGTTCCACTGGCTCCGCCCCTTCTGCTGCAGGCAATTCTTCACCATATGCTTCCGCGGTACCACGGCCGCATCCGGCAGCGCCCGCGCCCTCGCAAGCTACCCCGTCGTCAGAGAAGCCTCGCCGCGTGGAACGACCTGACGGACAACAACAGCGGGAGCACGAGAGCGAGGCTCCTCCCGCCTACACCGAGTAACAGTCGCCCTTCACCGCCTCGAATGAAATGATGCATTCTCGGGTTTCTCCATCCTGGTCTCTCGTGTGGGGCTCCGTTGTTCTGCTTCTCGGGACTAACTTTGCTTCGCGTAACTGATGCGGACACGATACGATATGACACGACACGCTTAGTTTGTCCTCTTATTGTGAGTGCGTGGGTTACGTTCAGCGCATGTGCGCGTACATCGATCGTTACTATGCGAATACACCGTTGTTCTCCGAAGCCCAGCGCGTGAGTCAACGGGAGTAATGCGCAAACATCAGTCGGAGGCAAAAGATGTCAAGCGCCCTACAAAGGTTAGCAGCGCCTTACGTAATAGTACTGTAAAAGGCAGTTGTTATGGATCGGCGCCACGCGTCCTATTGTCCTTTCATCCGGCGTTCAAAGGGACAATAGTGGCCCGGACAATGAGGCCAGCCGTGTTTGTACTTACTATAAAGGCTGGCAAGGGACGTGAGGGAAGAACGACCACCTCCGGCTCTTTGCTGTTCACGACCTTCACTTTCTGCCACTTGGTGCTGGGACACCTCTTCCTCGAGTCTCCCTCGCCGACGCCCCGACTCGACGCCCCCTCCATCATTTAGAACGACTCAAGTCGACATCTTCAGTCCTTACTTTGGCGGGTTTATTCTGGGTTATATTTTGAAGGATACCATCAACGACCACACATACCATGCTTCCTCCTCGCGCATGTGAGTACTCACCGCTTCCATATCACGAGCCCGACGCGAACAACCACTCTCCGTAGACTTCTTCATCGGGCTCAATGCCGTCCGCGCTCTCAGCATCATCTCCATGCTGCTCGTATTCGCGAGCAGCATCTTCGTCCTCGTCAATGACATCCAAGCAGTCAACCGCGCCGCCGCAGGCAACGTCGACATGACCGACTGCGAGTACATCGAGTACGTACCTGCCTCCTTCGCATCCATCTCACGGCGCTGACACGCACCACAGCGGGAGCACCGTGCCAAACCAGCCTGCGGGCGCGTTCTGGGCGGTCGTGAACCGGCTACTCATCATCTTCCAAGTCATCGTCCTCATCCTCTCCGAGGTCGGGTGGCCCACGGCCTTCTTCCGGACGTACTTCCCCGTGCTCGGGCCCGACTTTGGCCTGGGCGCGCTCGGGATTTTCCAGTGCCTCATCGGCGCGACGATCCTCTCGCACCACGTCGACGACTTCACGCTCGTCGCCGCCTTCTTCCTCTTCTCCGTCGGCTGCCTGAACATGCTCATCGGCCTCTTCCGCGAGAAGGTCAAGCGCAAGCGCTCGATCATGTCCTGGCGCGAGGAGGCAAAGGGCATCCTCCCGACGCACAAGGACCTCCGCCCGCCATTCGTGCGATCGCCGCAGGCCTTCACGAAGATGGATGACGACGACGTGTACGGCCACCGAGGAAACGGGTTTGGCCGACAGGGAGAGAAGGCTGCGGGTTTGAAGGGTACGTCCGATCGCCGATAATGTGCGGGCGCCATGCTGACGGGTATACTTCAGGCTTCCTCATCTCGAAGCCTCTTGAGAGTCTCCCGCGATACGCACATCCGGCTCGTTCTGATAGCTCTCGCGCGGGTACGCCAGAGCCCAAGTTCAAGTCAAGCGCTACGGCGATATGAGCCAAGAACGCACATGCACGGACATGACGACTCACGATGACTGGACTCTTTGTCCATGTGACGCTTGCTGGACTTGTCGCGCCTCACTGTATCGTTATTGGACCACCTGTATAGCTGATGTATCCTACCTGTATTCTAGCCTTGCATAATGCATAAGTTGCTGTGTACTAAGCGGTGATATTGAGGGACCAGGGTAGCATACAAGCGTCATCAGTCCGAGAGATCCATGTCGTCATCTCCATCGTCGTGCTGTTGAGTCACCTTGGAAGATGGTACTGCAGCGCACAGCAACGGTGTGGAAGGTAGAGGCGGGGGAGTAGACGGCGGAGGAGGAGGAGGCGGTACTGAGGGGCTTGGCGCACGGGGCAAGTCGCTGAACGCACCAGGTCGCCTCCATGGGGGTACAGATGCTGTACCATTCGGAGTTATGGACGAGGCTAGAATCTCTTCCCATAGCGATTGACGGTCAGCGGTGAAGGTGGAGCTGACGGGAGGGGGTCGGTCATCTGTTGCAATTGCCGGTAAGCTCCTGCCCTGGTGAACTGGGAGCCGACTGTAGAGGAAGTACGTGGCTGGATATTGTGCCCAGCGCCGAGGTGTGGAAGTCGACGTAGCATCGTCATCCGCATCCGCATTGGAGCGCACAGTTCCGGGGAGAGTACAACACTCCTGGCCATCGTCCGTGTGAATAGTGAATTCGAAGTCGTCGGAGTCGGAGTCTTCGCCAGCACCCGTAATGCGCGCCCAGACATGCTCTCGCGGGTCTCGCTCACCGATCCAGCCCGGTGGATACCCCCAATATGCCATGTTCTTCAGCCATTCCCCATGTTCACCGCGGTCGCCCTCCTCCAGACCAAGCGCGTCACGTAGAGCCGAGCCTCGTATCTCGCCCGGCTCAAACGCGTCAAGCCAGGCCAGCCGTTGGCGACGCCATTCCTCGACCTCATGAATGCGGTGAAAGGGGCCTGAAGACTCTCCGCGGAAGAAGTTGAACAGCTGGCGGGAGAGCGCAACCAGGGCGCGGTGGACAGGCTCCGGGCACGTTGAGACAACGTGGTCGGGCGAGCCGCAGTTGAAGCAACGATGAACATCCGTCGATGCTTCGTTGTCGACGGCGTCTCCGAGGACGTCTTCGTGAACGCGGGTGTAGAGCGGAGTCTCGAGCGGGGAGTCCTGGATGTATTCGAACGCGCCTGTTAATCCTGTCTGGTCCACGGTGAAGCCTCCCACGTATCCAACGCCTGATTGACCGTGTCCGCATCCCATCGTCCCTTCGCTACCTCCTTGCCCTCGATGTGCAGTGCAGGGATCCAATACACATACTTCTTCTTCCAGCGCTCTTGACCCTCGTCGTGGATGTTGACCGTCTCGAGCTCAAATAGCCGATGCTGTCGCACTTTAGCTAGCTCCGCTTTGGCTGTCTACATGAATGAGACATCAGTAAAATGACCGTCAAGCGGAGAATCTGTCAAGACACGTACGTCGCAAAGGGAGCACTGCGGGCCAGAGAAGAGGGTGAGGCGTGCGATCCGATGGATGCCACGGGCTGCCATGCGCCTGAAGTATAAAGTGCATAAGATTCCGACGGCTGCACTTGAAAACAAAACATACCTCGTAGGCTGCTTGGTGGAACGGACTAGATATGGTTCAGGTCGAAAGGAAGTGCTGCTAAGTGCTAGAGGGGAAGGACTTATTGAGACCTACTGTACAAATCATTTGATCTACGAAAAGAGGGCGCTATAGCCAAGTGGTTACGGCGACAGATTAGAAATCTGTTCTCCTTTGGAGGCGCAGGTTCGAATCCTGCTGGCGTCGGCGTATGTTTTTGTACCCTCTTTTTTGGTTGGGAAAGTTGGAAAATGACACTCATGACGTGCATGCCCCGAGAAGGGGGATTGTGACATGGACGTGATTTTCCGGGATGCGAAATACTCTCACCGGACTCACGAGCACTTCGAGCGCGGGAGCGGGAAAGGTTTTCGCAGCCCGGAATATCACGAACATATCCCAATCCGACTCTATGGCACATGCACGTCGTGATTGCAGTTGCTTTACCTCGCCGTATACAGCGACGCTGAGAGACTACAGTATGTGTAAAGGAGAGATAATCGACACGACGCGCCATAGAGGCGGATTGGGATATGTTCGTGATATTAATATTCCGGGCTGCGAAAACCTTTCCCGCTCCCGCGCTCGAAGTGCTCGTGAATCCGGTGAGAGGATTTCGCATCCCGGAAAATCACGTCCATGTCACAATCCCCCTTCTCGGGGCATGCACGTCGTGCGAAGTGCTATCAAATTTGCAAAGGAACACGTTCTGCCAAAAAAAGGGCCTGGCCGGGAATTGAACCCGGGGCCTCCTCCATTCACGTGACGAAGCACCCTAAGAAGGAATCATACTACTAGACCACCAGGCCTTGTGGTATCTGTGGCATTGTAATGAAGTCGTCCTTGAGGAGGTGTACAGGAAGTGAGTACTATAGAGAAGGACAAACACCTGACAAACACACAGCAGACCAACAAGTCAAAGCGCTACTACAGCTTCTCAAGCAGTCCGCGTAACATCTTCTGGTTTGAGGAGACTACCGATTCCTTGTCCAGGGCTTTGCTTTTCTTCTCCAACAAGGCGATCGCTTGCTCCACGTCGGTCGAGAGAGCTTCCAGGGCGTCGCTCGCACGCGTTGCTTAGGCCGACAGTCAGCTCCAGTACTCCAGAGAGGACAAGACACCCAGCAAGACACAAATGCGATAGTTACCGCAACGGTCGACGTCGTCCTCAAGAGAATGCCAGAGCTCCTTCCGTCGATCGTAGGCGCGTTGGAGGTCCCCGAGAGTCTTCGCTATGTTCCGCTAGGCCAGGGAGCCGCGGTGGGCGGATCAAGATGCAAAGAGGTGGGATGCGCGTACCTGCGCGTCACTATGCGCGGTCTTCAATTCATCTTCGTCCCTCAAGGCGATCCGTTCTACCTTCTTGCACACTTCATCGAACGTCAGCAGCCCTGCTCCGAAGGCTACGTCCACTGACAAAGGCGCAGAGTACGTCAGTGCATCGAACGACCGCATGTAGTCACTGGGGCGAACCTTTCTGATCCAATTCGCCATGGGTAGCCCTAACGCTATTGTATGCGGGCAGAAGCGCGTCCTTGAGGTACTTCTTGAGCTCAGCACCTTGGGCTGTCATAGGCCCTTGGAGTTGTTCGACAAGGGCCATGAGCTGCTCTTCTTCGTCCTCATCCGATGGACTACCGACGCACATCAGCGTGCCGTAAGTTACCATGCGCATATATGCGCCCAAATGTTACTCACTCGTCCTGGAACATGGCCACCAGGGTGGTCTCGTCGTCCCAGCCATGCATGTCTACGTCGTCGTCCTGTCCGTGTCTTCGAGAGGTGCTAGGACGTGCATCTCCGCGAGCCCAGGTCTCAAGAGGCGGGTACGGGTCGCGCGTTTCATCGAGCCGGTGCTGAACGTCGTCCTCTTCGGGGTCCTCGCAGATTGTCGAGAGCTGAGTGCGTGACGAGAGAAAGCGGTTGGTGTTAGTCGAGTGCAGCCGCGACCGTAGGCCGGGACTCCGAGCGTTAATAGGAGAGCGGGCAATAAACGGAGCCTTCTGATGCTGTGTGGGACGGGTGGCTGCGGTCCGTCGCGTAAGCTTGACGTGCGAGACGACCAGGGCGCATATACTCACTGAACCTGACCCTATGGGCCGTGGGCGTGAGGGGCGACCCGCGCTGGATGAGCTGCGTGGTGTGCTTGACCATGTCGGCGGCGGCGGGGGAGGCGGAGGAGGGAGGAGAAAGAGGGTGAAAGCAGAAAGGATCAGTGGATGCTCAATATAGTTGATGGAAGCGCCGAGAGGAGGATCTATCTTTTCTTGTGCTTCTCGTCGTTCTCGCTCTTGCCGCCGCCCCCTTTCCCTCGCCCGTTCTTCAGCCTTCCCCTCTCCCGCCCTCTTCTTCTGCGAGTCCGGTTACTCTCCGTTCTCGTTGCTGAGCCCCTTCACACATACACACACCACAGAGCCTCAGACTTCGACATCTCTCCCGCCTTGTCAACATGAGCGGCCGCGTCCCGAAGCAGTCCATGTCTGAGCTCAAGCTCCGCAGACTGTCAGAACACAACCAAAGGCTCAGGGAGGATCTGGCACGGCCAAGAATCAGGGTCAGCGAGGCAAGCAAGAGGTGAGCTCCCCGATGCCTTTCCCAGCACCACCCGTTGCTCACCCCTGCCTGCTGCGTAACAGCTTGATCAACTACTGCAAGTCCACACCAGATCACCTCGTGAGTAGCTCTCCAGCGAGTCAGAATTGGGAGCTCTCTTCCGTGTGCGCTGGGCGACGTCTGTGAAGGCATCCCGTCGCTGCCGTTCTCCATGTGTTGGCAACGCGCCCAGAGTGCAAGTTCTCTGGTCTCGCAGGTTGGATATCTTCCGTTGCGGGGAATCGTGCCATCCTGTCGTACGGGTTCCCGTGAGGGTGTAAGGATCTGATCTTGTGCTGCCTATTGCTACACCAGAGCATCCCTGGGTCCTTGGTATTCGTCGGACAGCTGGTATGCTAGGGGCTGTCGATCCGCGTCGTCGCAAAATGCGCATTGATGTAGCCTCTCATGCTCGAGGCTGTTGACGAAGTGCCCTGTGGCAATATGCGCACCATCCGTGCCACAGCACTTCGCCCCTACGGCCTGCAGAGTGTATCAGTCACCGGATGCCGCGGATGTTGCTACATCGAGACATGACCTCGAGTTCTCCATCACGGTCTTCGGTATCAATTTTACATGTTGCCCCAACTGTTGACGCATATCACTGACAACCACTCCAGATCCCATCGGTGTGGGGTCCCGTCAGCAAGGCTGAGGACCCCTTCGCCATGCCTAACCAAGGATGCCAGTGCGTTGTCATGTAGGACAACCCCTGCAAGACCCGCCCGCCAGCATAGGTTCCGTCCCATCTCATACACTACATGCGGCGCGGCGGCCCTGGGACACCACTCGGAGGGTGTGATCGAGATGCGAGATTATGCAGGAAGGTCGACGTGGAGTGAATGGGGTTTGCATCCACGTTCGTACGTCTACCGCCGTCTCGCTACTTTCGCTCGTTCGCCCGCTACCATCCACATCAGCGCAGCCGTGCGCCCATCCCATCCCTCTCCCACCAACTACGCATACAGTAAATGTTATTGCCCTATCTCAGCATACACCCCGCCGCTCGTTTACTCGCATGCCCTCGCATCCTACTTACTCCAGCCACACATCCTCATATGTCGCATAGTATATACCTCACATTGCGGAGCTCGGAATTTCCCGCCACCCCTTCCCCGCCCTACTAGATCCCGCTCGCGCAGCCGAGCGGGCATCGTCGCGCACCCTTGACCTCTGACATGAAGTAATGCAGTCCTCAGATTCTCCTTTTCTTGACCTGGTTTGCCCTCGCCGCCGCGTTTGGTTATGGAACCCGTGTCTTGCCTTCCGACTCATGGCTTCGTGTCATAGGTTATATATACTACCACCGTAGCCGTAGCTGCATCCTCGTGAACAGAATCGCATATCGAGCTGTCTTGTTTTGCTTTCCTTCTCACATTCAGTGCTGTGCGCGCCATGTCGAATCTCAGCAACGGAGGGCTCGCATATTGACAGCCAAGGCGCAATGCAACCACCACAACATCTCAGGTCAAACATTCCATTCAAACACTACCTGGGTCAGTGCGCATGGATCGCCCGCGCGGAGGGTTGACTCTTCTCCACCCAAGGTACATGGTGGCTACCTGGAGTTCGGGCTCGTAAACGACTCCCTCCCATGCACGTCGCGACGTCGTGCACCGAGGGAGCAAAGTCCAGATGGACTTCCTAGGGCAGTGAATGCTAATAGATTGAGGTTGTGGCGCTGCAAAGAGCTTGCCAGAAGAGATATGTACTGACAGAAACTCTCCAGATTCTAACTTGCCCAATACAATCATCGTCATGAAGACTACTTCGGAACGGTTGGTAGGAAGATATGAACGTTTGAACATTGGCTCAGAGCACTGACACAAAGCAACATGACACAGACACGACTAGTACACATAACGCGAAGCAGCAACAGGGATAGCGGACATGTTCAACACGAGCAAACGGCCTCCGCCATCTCTTCAGCACGCAAGACATCCCATCCTGCGTTCTCGCTCATCTCTTTGAGCGTCACGCTTGGGGGCGCACCGTACGGGAACTCCACCGGCAGGTCTGCCGTCATCCTCTGCGACGACCGCAACACATCCCAGCAGTAGAGCCACGTAGGTCCGCCCTGCACTTGTATGTACGCACCAATCCAGCGGAGGGAGGGCACGGCCTGCGCAAGCGCTGCTGTCCGCGCAGGCGTGTCGGAACAGATGCTACGGACGACTTTGCGGGTGTACGAGCAGGAGGCGCGGAAGTGGTTGATTGAGTATTTGAGGAGGAGATGTGTGACGGAGAGACCGGAGAGGGCACGTTGGAGCTCGTCCTGCATAAGAGCCAGCGGGTCAGACACAACTTTGACGTACGAGCGAGGGGCCGCGAGACTTACGACAAGGAGAGCGGTCATCTTGACATAGTCGGGGATACCGTCACCTTCCAGGTTCAGAATGAAGCGTTGTAGCGACGACGTGGCGTCGCCCGGCTGAAGACCACTAAAGCGGCGCGGGAGTGGCATATACTTGTAGTGGACCTGTCTCAGGTGCATCTCCAAACATCTGGGACGTGCGTCGGTGAGTATAGTGGGAAGCATGTCTTCGGCGGGATCCCCGGTGGAATACCCGACCGTGAGGTGTGGGACGTGGAACGGGAGCGCAAGTGTGTACAGAGCGCATGGCGTTTCTGCACCTACTGCGACAAACGAAGGCCACGACCCTGCCAGCGAGTGCCACTGATATTGCGAGTGTTCGCGCAGGCGATCTTCGTCCTGACGGGATGAGTGCGTGTGGCACAGATGGTAGTTGCGGGTGCCGCGCAGAGAGAGGTGAGTGAGGTTGGGAAATGTGCACACCAGATCGCTGACGACGTCTTCCGAAGCTGGGAACTCGATCCCAAGCTTGGTGACGTGCGGGAAGACAACGCCAGGCGCTGTCCACTGGCAGACTGGGATGTCCAGCTCAGTCAATGTGGCCGCTAGTGGCGCAAGAGCGACAAGGACTTCAGGTATCTCAACCCATCTTCCGGGGCGGAGCACAAGTCTGCGTAGTGGTAGTTGGGCTATCGTGAGGTCCAAGCGGAGCTGCGATCGGGGGCACATGGGCATGCGGAGGTCTTCAAGTTCGGATAGTTCAGATATCGCGCGATGTAGCGGTGCAGTTGGCACGTCTTCAAACCACCTTCCTACACGAAGACGACGGAGCTTCTGGCAGTTCCGAAGGGCGTGTAGAAAACACTCGAGGGCATGGTTGCGAGAAGCGAGGAGTACACGTTC